TTAACGGTAAGAGGCAACAATGGGCGGCCTTATAGCTGAATAAAGTCTTTCAAGCAACCTTCGGATGCTTAGAAAAAATCGCAAAACAAACTTCATGTTTGACATTATTATAGACTTGTAGTTTAGTATATGTTACAGTTTAAAAACAAATTAAAAATATTGATTTATTTATTTGACGGTCGCGATAGTTTAGTGGTTTATCACACCGCCGTACTTTTGATGGTCGCGGGTTCGAATCGCACGATACAAATAAGTGTGAGTATGATTGGTTATATGGGTCTGGGTGATATTTATGTAATGAAATGTGTAATCATTTATTCATGTAGAAATTGTAGGACATTTTAGTTGTTTACGAAAAGTTTTACAAAAAAGTTTTTATAAGTACAGGTTTGTTTAGTTTGGGATTAGATGACGTTATGGAGTTGTTATGGTTTTTTTTTATGCCACAAAATGTAATCAATTGCAAAAAAAAAAATTGATAAAAATGACAAAAGAAAACATCGTTAACATTTGTTAAAAGAAATTAAAACCTACGAACATCGAAATTTCAGTTAGTGTACTAAACCACTAATTTAATAGAATCTTTCATTTCTGCTACGGAACGGAAGTATGCCATCCCGGTGCATACTTGACTGATTTTTATTATAAAAATATATCTCAACGAAGTGATTTCCACGTGAACGATATCAAAGGTACATCGAGGATTAAAAAGGATACATTATAGATAGAAAGGCAATATAAACGAATCCCGTTGGTGAGGTCAAAGGCATTATTTCCCGAATAAGGCCTCCCGCGGACGGTACGATATTATTTGTCGAGGCACGGACGCTCGCCGCGCTCTCCGCAGGAAATGAGAGTATTTGTCTTACCTGCACGTACCGCGGTCTCACTGCCAGCGATCATTTATATACGATCTAGCAGCAAGAAAGCCGCCTCATGCATAATAGAAATATCTCCTTTGGAAAGTACACACGCTATGCGGAGGGGATAAAAATCATCGCTCCGAAGAATATCCTTCAATTCTTGAATTTTCTCGAATCTTAAGAATGATTAACAAATGCTGTAATAATAGAGTAAACAGAGTAGGGCGGAACGTAAATGTTTTGACAAAATTTCGATTGAATGTATTGCCATCGAGTTTGATTGAGGGGCAAACTTAGGCTTAAGTTGAGGACATTAACAAAAATCTGCAGATTTTGGCTAAAATGTAACAAAAGTAAATTATTATTGATTATTTTTGATTTGATTGACCTAATCAAAAAAAATATACATAGATAGATATATCGTTTATTTGTTTGTTACTAATCACACACAACATGTTCATAGGAATATAAAATACATAATACAACATAAGATATATAAAATTGTGTTATTATGTGTGATCTGTAGCAATACAAAAAGGTCGAAGCTCAGCGTGGAACATTGTTCAAGAACAAAACACTGATTTTCAGCTTTAACCCATTTGAGGGTACATAGCAGACAACCAGACCCATACAAACAAGATTTTGGAAGCGCCACTATACATCTGTATACTGGCTATGTGGTTGTAGCCTACTCATGCATAAACGAAATATCTCCTTTGGAAAGTTTACCCTCTATCCTGAGGAGATAAAAACCATCGCTTTTAAAAATATCCTTCAATTCTTGAATTTTCTTGAATCTTCAGAATAATTAACAAATGCTGTAATAAACAGAGTAGTGCGGAACGTAAATGTTTTGGCAAATGTATTGCCATCGATTGAATGTATTGCCAAAAATCGAGTTTGATTGAGGTACATACCTAAAAAAATATATAATATCAAACAACCAGACCATACAAACAAGATTTTGGAAACGGAACTTATGTGGTTGGTTGCATAATCGAAATATCTCCAACTGAGGAGATAAAAAAGCTTTTAAAAAAAATCTGCAGATTTTGCCAAGTAAATGTTTTTTTCGATTGAAACGCCTCTACAACAACAAAAATACATCCTATGTGGTTATCTACTCATGCATAAATGAAATATCTCCTTTGGAAAGTACACACTGTATACTGAGGAGATAAAAACCATCGCGACTAAGAATGTCCTTCAATTCTCGTCCTTGACGGGTCTAGGTAGCGAGCTCCGAAAAAGGGCGAGCACAATAGATCTATGTAGGTCGCAGTGCTACAAGTTTTCTTTAGCAACGAATAATAGCCTAATTAAAAACACCACCAGGGTATATAGGAATCTCTTATCAAGTAACAGTGTTCATAGACCTGAATAACTGAATTAAGCGATAGTCGAAATATATATATTTGTTTTAGTTTTTCCACACGACGTCGATCACGTGACCGCGCTGTTTCAAACGAAATAATGTCAGTATATATCATTTGGGACGCTTCGTATTGATTTTCATGTTTTTAAATTGGTGTAAGTTTTTTTGATACCTGTTAATTGTAGGAATTTCATTTATTTATTTATTAAAACTTCAATGCGTAAATACACAAATAAAGGTGCACATGCGGTCTTGACACCTTGAGGCATTTTTTCCCAGTCAACCGTAGGGTAAACAGATATTTATATGTACATTCTTTTATGCATTACAATAAACCCATCATTTACTTGTTTATTATAATCTTTTGCATGTCATTATATTACAGATATCTTAACATTTTGAACATATGTTGATACATATAACATAATATTTCTTTTTATATGAGGTCATCAAATTTAATATTTCCATAGGTTTCTTATCTTTGGACATATTAGATAAAAAAAGGTACGTCCATCTTTGTCTACATTCTTATTAAATTATTATAACTAAGAGTTCAATAATATTAATCTCAGGACAATTCACACAGCGTCATCTATTCTCAATCTAAGCGGAGCTTCTGTTATGGATGCTAAATGCTACTTATATAAATACTAATATAGATAAATTTGTATATACATACATAATATACATAGAAACTACCCAGAGTTTTGTGCGCGAAATATCGAACCTGCAACAATCGAAAATAAGGCGGTTTACTAAACCCCAGACCACCAAAGCCGTCATATACCATACCATACCATTTCAGGCAAAAAGGGGTATAACCGCTGATAGTAGCGCCGCGCCCTTCGCCCGGGGCCATACATTCACAAATTCACTTACCAACATTTATGAATGTTTATAATTAAAGAGGCTATATCGTGCCAACTCGCACGCTACCAAATGTACTGCGTATTATAATTTAGGTCACAATTTTTCATTATCCACCTATATATATATACTTGCATATCCACATTTGGTATACATCTGCAAATCCACGTAACGGAAATTATAGAGCGGTTGAAATACAGAATAGAATAGAATAGAAAATCATTTATTCAAATAAACTTACATTGAACCACTTTTGAATAGTCATAACATTTTTTTTTTTAATCCACCGCTCATTCGGAATGCCGTCTCATCACAAGAAGAACAAGCAAGAAACTTGTGTGTTGCTCTTTTAAATAATTTATTCTTACTTACAATTTAAGTTTAAGTGTGTGAATACAAACCACCGATAAGCACTAATTCAATGAAATAATAAAATAGAAAAAAAACATTCAATATACAACAACTGGTTAAACAATTAATAAGAGAAAATAAGTCATAGTGATTAGAGCAGACCAGTCCACACAAGCAGCACCCGTTCACGAGTATGACGGATGAGCCAGCCACCACTGCGCTCGACCATATTTTAGGGAGCCCAATGACCCGGCCCACCACGCCGCCACAAATCTGGACATTTTAGTGAGCATGACTACTCAAAACACCAGATGACAGAACAGTGCACGGCATGGTTTAAGTTTTTTTTTTTTCGGACTACTCTAATGCTGTTGGCCGCAGCTGGCCTTTACAGCTTCACCGGACGTTAGGGGGCGAGTGCAGATGGCACTCCAAACCAAAGGAAGGACTTATGGAGCGGCTGAAGGCCAACTCCCGCCTGACGGATACGACTTTAGTCTGAGAGCACCGCTAGGGGTTCGAACCTCGGCCCAGGCCGTCGTAATTTCGACGGGGGATCGATCGGAGGGGAAAAGTTTTATGTGTATCAGCTCTATTTTATTATTATCATCATAATGATCATCATTGCCAGTAAAAGAGGGAATAAATAGTATGTTTGTATATACAATTCTTCCGAAATGGTTTGATCGACTTTTAAGAAATTTTATATGCATTTTTTTCATACCCCTAAGTGATAAGGGTTGTCCAACCCTAACTTTGTTTTTGGACAATGTTTTTATTTTTTTATAATGTGGCATTAAAAATACATAGAACCCTAAATTTTCACCCTTCTATCACCAACCCCTATTTTTAAAAGCGTAGAGTAGCTTTATATTGCAAAACAACTAGCATTTTTTTTGGACAATATTTTTATTTTTTTATAATGTGGCATTAAAAATACATAGAACCCTAAATTTTCACCCTTCTATCACCAACCCCTATTTTTTAAAAGCGTAGAGTCGCTTTATATTGCAAATCAACTAACATTTTTTTTGGGCAATATTTTTTTTTTTATAGTGTGGCATTAAAAATACATAGAACCCTAAATTTTCACCCTTCTATCACCAACCCCTATTTTTTAAAAGCGTAGAGTCGCTTTATATTGCAAAACAACGTTTGTCGCGGTCAGCTAGTAATTATATATATACTAGCAGACTCGGCAGAATATATTTATATATTGCGACTATAAATTGAGATGCTATCTTATCTTTCAAGTTGCAATCGGTTCAGTAGTTTAGGAGTCCATCGCGGACAAACAACGTGACACGTAATTTTTATATACATATAAAGATTGACGTTTTGTTATGAATATTTGTTTGTTTTTTATTAATATGTTGTATACTTTTTTTTGTTGTTTTTTTTTGTCGGACAACTCTAATGCTGTAGACCTCAGCTGGCGTTTACAGTGGGCGAGGCCAACTGTTATTTTGAATACATTTATTTATTGTTTTATATGTACTTAGTATTTGACAGAGTAAATAACATTTTTTTTTTGTTCATTTCAGATGCAATCTGCGACTTGTAGGGTCTGACGCGTCATACAAGCTCAGCGCCCACGAAATAGAAGCTTTAAATGCTGTAAGTATCACATAATCTAACTAACAAAAGAAACTTATTAACCCCATACCAGCGCCGTGACAGTTAGCTGTAACAGCAAATGCTGAGTGTCCATGTTGCCAATCATTGTATATAAATATTATAGATGTTGTTTTGTAATTGTTCTACATGTGTATGTTGTATATACATATATATGTATGTGTGTGTGTGCATACATATATATATGTAAAATATACCAATGTCAAAATTTCAGATTATTTTTCTATACAATTTTACCACACTTATATAAATAAATAAATAAATTTTAATTACACGAGCAAAATATTATCTAACTTAGTTATAAATATTTACACTACTAATCTGTGTTTGCTATGAAAATTACGTACTTCTGACGATACGATAAATATAGATGGCGACTATTAATGCTGTTGACCGTTTTTTTTGTTTTAATGCAGATGGCACTCCAAACCCGCCTATAGTACTCCTTGACGGATACGACTTTTTACCACTAGGGGTTCGAACCTCGGCTCAGGCCGTCGTAATTTCGATTCCCGTTTGAATGGATAGTTTCCATGTTGCCAACCATTGTATATAAATATTATAGATGTTGTTTTGTAATTGTTCTACGTGTGTATGTTGTATATACATATATATTGATGTATATGTGTGTGTCTGTGTGTATACATATATATGTAAAATGTACCTATGTCAAAATGTATGTTTATATCAATAATGGTTGTCAATAAATGTTTTTCTTCTTCTTCCTTCTTCTATTTATTTGGCCAAACGATTTTTTAATATATAATATAAATAAAATTGACATTGAATTTGTAAAATGAAATAACTGTTTTTACTAAATGCATATGAATATATTATCAAAATAAATTTTCTTACAAATTTTGTCTTTCTGTCTGTTGGTCTGTTTGTTTTGGCGAATCTCTGAAATGGCTATTTGATGGGACTTTCTTTGGCAGGTAGCTGATGTAATAAGGAATAACTTAGACTACTTTTATCTTTTAAAAATAAAGTTAAATTCCACGCGGACGAAGTCACGGGAACAGTTAGTATATAATAAGTAACGAGATACCTTGTGCAATATACAATTATTCAAGAATAATCTCAAAATATTGTTGTTATCTAAAGTATATTGTGTTACTGAATAACTAAACGATGTATATATATAAATATAAATATAATAAAATAAATAAATTTAAATTAAACAAGCCTGTCAGTGATGACTAATGTCTGAGATTATTTTAAAACCCAACTTATCAGACTGTACCACATTTATGCAACCTATAAATAAATAAATATTAATAAATTAATTTAAATTAAACAAGCCTGCCAGTGATGACTATATGTCTCAGACTATTTTAAACCCAAATTCAAAACATATAGCAACCTATAAATAAATAAATATTAATAAATGAATTTAAATTAAACAAGCCTGCCAGTGATGACTATATGTCTCAGACTGAACGATTCTACCACACTTGCAACCTATAAATAAATAAATATTAATAAATGAATTTAAATTAAACAAGCGTGCCAGTGATGACTATATGTCTAGTTTTCATACAATTTACCACACTTATAGCAACCTATAAATAAATAAATATTAATAAATTAATTTAAATTAAACAAGCCTGCCAGTGATGACTATATGTCTCAGACTATTTTAAACCTATATAAATTCTACCACACTTATGCAACCTATAAATAAAATAAATATTAAAAAAAATTTAAATTAAACAAGCCTTGAGTGATGACTATATGTCCCAGACTATTTTAAACCAAACCTATGGATTCTATATAGCAACCTGTAAATAAAATAAATATTAAAAAAAATTTAAATTAAAAACTTGACGTTCATAAGCAGACTATTTTAAAAATATACAATTCTACCACACATGCAACCTATAAATAAATGATTTAATTGAATTTAAATTTTTGACTAATGAATATTTTAAACCCAACCTATACAATTCTACCACACTTATAGCAACCTATAAATAAATAAATATTAATAAATGAATTTAAATTAAACAAGCCGCCATGACTATATGTCTCAGACTATTTTACTATACAATTCTACCACACTTATAGCAACCTATAAATAAATAAATATTAATAAATTAATTAAATTCCTGCCAGTGATGACTATATGTCTGACTATTTTCTATACAATTCTACCACACTTATAGCAACCTATAAATAAAATAAATATTAATAAATGTTAAATTAAACAAGGCTGGTCAGTGATGACTATATGTCCCAGACTATTTTAAACCAAACCTATACAATTCTACCACACTTATAGCAACCTATAAATAAATAAATATTAATAAATTAATTTAAATTAAACAAGCCTGCCAGTGATGACTATATGTCTCAGACATTTTAAACCCAACCTATACAATTCTACCACACTTATAGCAACCTATAAATAAATAAATATTAATAAATGAATTTAAATTAAACTGTGCCAGTGATGACTATATGTCTCAGACTATTTTAAACCCAACCCTATTACCACACTTATAGCAAAATACCAGTGTCATGTCTCAGACTATTTTGACCATACAATTTTACACACTTAAACCTATAAATAAATAAATATTAATAAATGAATTTAAATTCTTGATGAATTTGTCACGACTATTTTAAACCCAACCTATACAATTTTACCACACTTATAGCAACCTATAAATAAATAAATAACTTTTAATTACCCCGTATCATCTAACTTAGTTATAAATATTTACACTACTAATCTGTGTTTGCTATGAAAATTACGTACTTCTGACGATCCCCTTATGAGGGCTAATCGTAAGTCTAAAATGTATGTAGCGGATTAATTTAGATGTAAAACAAACATTGCTATCTCCCGTTGGCTGCGTACGATGTGATAACTAGGAGGCGTATTGAAATGAATAATAACCCACCTGCTTCCTTCTTCCTGACGCCATGTTGTGGTTACACTTGTTAAAGAAGTTATTGATTATCAAATCCTGCTGCATTTGGGATCGATATCTGAAATTCTTGTTCAGGTAGAAAAGAGCTTATTCTATTTAGTCGTAGTTTTACAAAGGACCGACCAAAGTATTGTTATTAAAGTGGACTAATTCCCCTATTGCTGCAATATTGCGGTTGACCTCTACCGAAAAGCGTCGTGATAAATTCATTTACCACATCAGGTGACCTCCGTCATGCTCCACTGGTGCCCCCCAGCGTGTGTTAGCGCAGGCGGGTGCAAAAAAAAAATTAATAAAAAAGGAAAGAACCCTGCAATAAAAAAAATACAGTTTAGATCATATTGGGTATACCAACCGCACTAGACTCTGAATTTCAGCATATGCTGGTACTCATTCTATTCTACCTAATTGAAAATGAATCTGTATTTTTGTAATCATGCACAAGTTCGTTTAAAAAGAAAAAGAGCTGAATCTCTTATCAGTTCTCAGCTCGATAACACTCTGAACTGTCGGTAAGAGACTGTAAGAGTGGGAAATTTCATAATTCTCTATCCGCTATAATCGTAAAAAGAGGTAAAAAGTTTTTGCTTCACGTATTAATAAACGTTAATTTTATTAACGTTTTTTATAACAAAATATCAAAGTCTGTTATAAATCTGCCTGAAAAAAGATTTAAATGTCATATAAAACACTAATAATGTTTTTTTAGAAAAACTTAAAATACATAGTACTGACAATATTATCTGATTGCACTAATAATGAGTGCGCAGCGATTTCTATGTAATCAACATATCATGCACATGTAGACAACATCGCATGCCTCTTACTTGTTATTGTGTAATCATTACATAGTATAAAACGAAGTTGCTGTCGCTGTCTTTCCGTCTCTATCTTTAAAACTACGCAACGGATTTGAAGCGGTTTTTTTAATAGATACAGTGATTCTAGATTTATATATATAATACATGTACACCCGTGCAAAGACGGGGTGAGTAGGTAGTAATAATTAATTTAATAAGTAAAGATTAATTAACTTAAGGATTTGTACACTTGATATAAGCAGATTAATTTTAATATACATCAATAGAATAACAATATTTTTATGACAAAAAAAAAAAAACTTTTTTTAAAATATATTTAATAAAAAAAGTGAAAAAAAAATAAAAAAATTTTATTTCTGGAATGTATGTCAAGTAATTTATTGTTTAAAAAAACACCTGAAGCCACGGTGCATAATAAACTTATGACCCTGATGTAAATCATTATTTTCTATTATTTTGACTTTACAATTTGTCACCTCGCTGTTCCACCAACATTCATTTGTCCAGTAACAAAAATCAGAAAGATTTTTTAATTTTTAAAAATTACTAATATACTGTACGGTCAACTACGCAGGTTAGAACTGGTTTGAAATAACCATCTAATCAGGGACTTTGTATGCTTCAGCACATTATCGTACGCTACAGAAGCTGTTAATTCTATCACAGACAGAAGAATACAGTACACTAAACTTTGATTACCAGACTTGGATGAAACAAAATAGTTACGTGCATCTGAATAACAGCAAAAGGTATCTGTAATTACTAAACCACGGAACTTTCCAGAATCAGAAACATCTTGGCGTTCATTTTAAAGTAACTTCAACTTTATGTAGATACAGCAGAGTTGATTTCAAATTATCTCGAGATAAGCACATAGCATTAAATATGAAGCTGGTGAGGAATAACAAGCACTTTACTAAAATGGAACTATTGTATACAATCTATATATGTACTAGTATATATAACTCAAAGGTGACTGACATAGTGATCTATCAACGCACAGCCCAAACCACTGGACGGATCGGGCTGAAATTTGGCATGCAGGTAGATGTTATGACGTAAGCATCCGCTAAGAAAGGATTTTGATTAATTCTACCCCCAAGGGGATAAAATAGGGGATGAAAGTTTGTATGAAACTTCGTACATTTTAAACCGATCGGGCTGAGATTTTGCCTGCATAAAGCTACTATGACGTAGGCTAAGAAAGGATTTTGATAAATTTCAC